ATTTTCAAAGTTTTTCCAGGTTCTTCGAGAATTTCGAAGTTCGAAGTTTAAAAGTTCGAAAATTTCAATTTCAAGGTCAAAAGTTCGAGAATTTCAAGTTCAAAATTTTGGAAGTTCGAGAATCGAAAGTTCGAGATTTAAAAGTTCAAGAATTGAAAGTACGAGATTTACGTATCCGAGAATTGAAAGTTCAAAACTTGAAAGTTCAAGAATTTTGGGTTCAAAATGTTCCAAGTTCGAGATTTAGATGTTCGAAAATTTAAGGTTCGACCATTCGAGCGTTTAATGTTCGAGAGTTCAAGCTTCGAGGTTCGAGGTTTAAAGTTCAAGGTCAAAGGTTCGAGGTTCGGAGCGCGTTCCAGTTTTCTACAGGAATCGGGTTTTGGGTTAGTTTAGGTGTAGTTTTTCCGCCAACGCCGGAGGCGGAAGCGCACCGATGGTTGCTACGTGTAGTTGGGAAATGTTGCGACGAGTTGTGAACGATATGAGTAAAGATGATGATGGAGCGAACGAACAACGACAAACGACGAACAATAAACAATAAAACAGCAAGAAGTAACAACAAGAGCAACAACGAATAAACAACACGGAAACGCGATAACAACGACTAACAACAAACGATAAAGCAACAACAAATAACAAGAGTAGAACAAGAACAAAAACAATGAAATATATAACAATGAAACGATAAAATAAATAACAAATAACGATAAAACAACAACAAATAACAACAATAAAACAATAACAATAAAACAATAAATCAAACAAATATAATACAATAAAATAACGAGTAACAAAATTTCCAGTTGATTTCCAGTTGAGCGCCACTGCTGTCTAGTCGCGCACAAGGACAGACGTAGCATCGAACAGAGCGACGAGCGTTAGTCGACGAGTGTCAATCTGTCTGACGCCATTGCTGCGAGAGAGACATCCTTGGATAGAACGGTCGCTTCGCTCCGCCTCTCCCGTAGTCTCTTCCGTGTAAATATCGCGTTGATAATCTCTGTCGAGCAGGACGCACTGATAATTGAAGCGAGCGACGACCGTTAGTTGACGAGCGGCCCCCCTCAGCGCCATCACTTTCCATTGCTGAAACAAAGAGACCAATAGGTCAAACGAGGACAGCGGCCATTTCGTCGTCTCCCTTGCACGCTCGACTCGGCGCAAGCGCTTCGTTGACAGTGGTAATACACGCGCGATAGAGAGAGACTTTCTTCATCCATGACGAAGGAAAAGAAATGTAGGGTCCTCCCACCCGCCCTCTGCGGTAGACAGACGCGAAACTTTTTCTCCGCCTCGCGATTTTGCCTCGATTTCAGCTGCTCCCGGATTCGAACCGAGCATCACCGAATCCAGCGCTCTCGCGTCTTACCAACCGCGCCGCCTCGTTTTTAGGCTACCGCGGCTCGTCTTGCTAAATTATGATTGATGGTAGATGCTTTTTTGTCAAAGTTACCACGTTTCGATAACGCGATTCTCTTCTCTGGAATTCGCTTAAGATTCCATGCCTCTTTGAGAACAACGAATGAAATAATTTTTGTAATTCTTTGTCTTGTCGCAAATTCCATACTAACACATCGTTACAGATGGGAATCTAGCGTGGCGATCGAGAGTATTTTGTTTTTTTTTTAATCTTTGTAGACGTGATGAGAAACTGCCTTTGAAATTGCCTTTGACTTCCCGCAAAGCACAGGCAATCTGAACTGAAAAAAAAAAAAAAAAATGGAGCCTCATGGATGGTGATAGTATTCTGTCGAAATGTATCAT